AGAGAGCCCCTCTCCCCCTCTGGGCGGCCGGTCGCCCCTCGGGGCTGCTGCTTCCCCAGAAGTCCCGTCCCCCCTCCGGGGTCCTCGGGAGGAGCGCGGGAGGGTCGGGGGGCGGCGGCGGCGGGGCAGAGGGAGCAGCCCGCGAGCGAGCGCCTCTGGCAAGCCCGGTTTACGGGGGGCTGCCTCTAGTTGGGCTCAGCGGGACTTATTGCTTCCGAGTAAGCCTGGAAGGGCTCCCCCTGACAAGGGGCGCCTGGAAGGGTCTCTGGGGGCTCTCGGGGCTCGGGGGGGCCCCTGCAGCGTTCAGGAGCTGAGCTTTGCAACGCGATCTCCCTCCCCCTCCCCGGCCGACCCCCCGCGTTGCGTTGCGGAGCCGAACCGTCCGGGCGTGGAAAGCGACGGCGAAACGGGGAGGGTAGCCGTGAAAGCGAAACCTAAGCCGGCCCTTCCCGCCGGCGGACCGACGGAACCTCCCCACACACAGAGAAACACACACACACACACCCCTCGACCGAAGAGCGCTTCTACTCCGCTTCTCAGGCAGATCAGGGGGGCGCCAGAGCCCTTTCCCTCCCCGTGCTCGGCGCGGCGCCGGCGGGCAGGGGGGAAGAGAGGGAAAAAGGGGTCTGTTCTCGGGGGGGGGGGGGACGCCAAGACAAGGAAGGGCAAGAGTGTCGGCCCGATGGAACGGGGAGCAGCTCCCGAAGCTGCAGGCGGGCAGTATTTTTCTGCTGGGGCCGACCGAGAGTCCCAGAAGCCTGGAAGCTCTTCATCAGACGAGGGGGCACCCCCACTTAGGGGAAGGGGAAGAAAGTCAGCTGGAGGCCTCACAGCTGGGTCCTATCCGATGAAGCGTTCTGGGGAACTCAAAAGCTTGCACTCTTGGCCCAGTAAAGGTGTTTTCCTTCAGCTCTTGCTGGGCAGTTGAGGACCAGCACAGTCCCAGGGTTGCAAGCCTGTGGCCCGCACAACACAACAAAGCTGCTCTTCCCAGAGAAAGGGGTGTCTGCCTTGAGAAAACACTGCCCGAACAGACACTCCCGGTAAGGGAGGAGGAAAGCAAGGGAGGTGGGGAGGAGAACGGCCCCTCCCCCCTTTTGCCTTTGCTCCCTCCGCTGCAAATATCCCTCCCTGGGTCTTCCTTTTCTCTTTTACTCCTGCCCTCTCCCTTAGTTCCCCCTGGTGTACCGGGAGATGTGCAGCTGCCCCCTGGAGACACCCAGACACACACGCAATGGACTGTGGTTTGGCTTGCAGGGTATTGATATTGATGCTAAGTAAATCATCATCATCATGGTCATTGTGTGCCGTCAAGTCAATTCTGACTCATGGCAATCCTTTTCAGGACTTTTCTAGGTAGAGAGTACACAGAAGTGGTTTCCCATTCCCTTCTTCTCCCACCCCCCCCACCAAAACAAAATGTTGAAACTGAGGCTGTCCTATTTTGGGGCACATCCTGAGAAGACAAGAGGATTCCCTGGAAAATACAAGAATGCAGGGAAAGGCAGCAGAAAAAGAGGAAGGCCAAGAGGAAGATGGACTGACGCTCAAAAGGAAGCCACCGGCTTGAGTTTGCAAGAGGCAGGGCAGGGCAGTGGAGGACAGGACAACTTGAAGATGGTTCATTCCCAGGGTCACCTACGGGGGGGGGCGCACGGGGGGGGGATGACTTGACAGTGGCGCATAAACAACAAGCAAAGAGAGAGAGAGAGAGAGAGAGAGAGAGAGATTCCCTTCCTCCTTCAAAGCCTGACTGGCCCGCTTAAGAGTGGAACTGGCGGGTGTTGATGTGGAAGGGAGGTGTTGTTGTGAAGTGGGAGGGGTGAAGGTGCACTGTAGACTTCAACCCCTCCACCAATAAGGAAGAGGTCGTGCCTCTGGGGGGAAATCAGCTCCCTTTCCCCAAAGGAAGCAGAGCTTGGGGAAATGTATGTGGTGTGTTTTTTTCCCTTAATGGTGAGCCTTGGAATCTGGACGTGAGCTTTTGCACACCTGGAAGGGACTCCCGCGGGGGGGGGCAGTCAGCTGAGCAGGCCGAGATAAGGAAGACAATCTGCCACAGGCTGCTGATTATCCCTGCGGGGGGACAGGAAGGGATTTCACCATTCCTTCAGTGGGGAAGGGGGCTGACACGACCCAAGAACACCCTTGGGCTTCTCCAGGGCAGGCCAGCTGTTCCTGGCCTTTGATCCTGCCCTGGAAGGAGGCAGCTGAGAGAGCGTCCCTGCCGGGGCCGATGCAAGGCGCTCTGAGATCCTGGGATGCCGTCTTGCACAGAGACAGACCTTCGGCCCACCTGGTCTGGCCTTGCTCACTCCGGCTGGCAACCCTCCACTGCCCTGAGCTGAAGGGAGGACTGAAGGGAGAACTGAAGGGAGAAAGTGTCCGGCAGCCCCTCTGGACTCCTTCCTGTGCCTTTGTGTGGGAAACCTTTCTGTACAATAATTAACCACTCTTGGGCAACCCGTTTCCTGGTAGCCTCTCAGAACTGGCCTTGCAACTCCTCCATGGACGCCGCTGCTGTCGCTTGCAGACCCACTGCCCTGCCTTGGCACAGAGAAGCTCTGCCCGGTTTTCCCGTGTCACATCCAGTTTTTTTTTCCCAAAACTCTTTCTCTTTTGAAGAGCCTTCAGGCTGTTTGCCAGGGATAGTGGCATGGAAATGCAGCTATGGAGGAAGCTCCACCGGTGAGTTTCTGCCTGTTACACAGCTGCTGAAGACCCTGGGTCCCCAAAGGTGGTGCCCCTGTTGGAGAAGGGTGCCGCTGGGCCACTCTCCGTAAGGCAACGAAGGGGAGCGAGCCTAGTTTGGTGCCGGCTTTGGTGCGCCCTCCCCCATCCCATGGCTCTGAAGTCATGGGCTGCGGCCCACAAAGGCTGATGCCCAAGGACACCTGGATGGTCTTTAAGGCCCCCCCCCCGTGTCTCTCTTGTCCTCGGTTTCCCCTGCTGGAAGAGGACAACCCTCTAAGAGCACCTGGCAGTGGGTGCCTCAGAGATGGCGTGTCTTGTGCAGCCTTGCTCCTGCATTTTCGTGGGGCTGCTGTGGCCCTGGGCACTCCAGAGATGTGGGGCCTCGTGCCTCTGAGGCTAAAAGCCCCAAAGAATATTTGCCGTGTACAGGTTTCAGCAGCCTCTTTGCAGGGATCACCCAAGGGCTGGCCACCCCTGGCAGCCTCTCTGTGTGCCAGTTGAGCTCGGCTTGTCGGGCACCAGCCCGGGCGGGCAGGCCTGGCATGCTCAGGGAAGGCCCGCCACAGCGCAGTCTCCCTGCCTGCTTGTCTGGAAGTTTATGTATTTGGCCGAGGAAGGACGGGCGTGGCGTCGCCCCTGGAGTGGAGTTTCCCGGAGAGCTTTCGGCAGTTTCATTTTCCCATCAGTTGCTGCATCACATTTCCGAGGCTGTGTGAAACATACAAGCTACTGAAGGTGGCGGGGATGGGGGGGCAGAAACTGGCCAGCCCACCCCAGGACAAAAAGGAATCCATTGCAGGAGGGGTGGGGGGAAGCCGTGCCTGGCAAGTCCCTCTGGTGGGTGCCCTTCTTGCAGGGCTAGCTAGACTCGACACCCGAATCACACGTGCCCAGTAGTCGTGGCGGGTCTGGCCACAATGCTCTTGCACGAAGCAGCCCTTGTGAATCCAGCCACTAAAGAGGCCCTCTGGGTCCAACCCTAGGCAACACACCCTCAGTGGCAGTCTGTGGCACAGCTGGGCAGGGGACTGGCCTGTTGTTTGGGGTGCGCCCCACCTGCACGAGTCACAACCCTCTTGTTTTCCAGCTGCCTGGCTTTCGGGTAGGTGGGAGAGGAGTTTAGTTTGATGCACCTCAATCTCACCCGGGGGAGTCGGGAGGAGACCGTTGCAATTTGCTGAGCTAGCGTGCCTTGGCAGCCTGCTGTCGGCATGTGTATGTTGTGTTGACACACAGGGCTCCTTCCACAATGTCTGACCCAGTTCCTTGGTGATTGCCGGGGCCGAGGGCTGGACGCCCAGTTTGTGCATGAGGGCGGATCACTGGGCTTTTTGCCCGTGGCTTAATAAACACAGCCTGCCTTCCCTCGAGGCGCCTTCCTCCTCGTCTGCTTGTTTTGAAAGACCTGTCGCCCAAGCTTCGGGCTGCCTCCGGGTTGTCTGGGGCAATTCCTGAAAGGGTGGGGGTTACCCGAGAGAGGGGGCTTTGGGGAAAAGCTTGAGCAGTCCCCTGCTCGCTCCCTCGCTGCTCTTTTTTGGCCCAGCCAGAACCCAGGGTTGATCGCTGAGAGACCCACCTCTTGACCCTGTTGCACTGCAGTCTCTTCTGAAGGCTGGCTTTTGTTTAAGCACCAGTTAAGTATGTGCACGTGTATAAACAAGACACAAAAACCTTCTGATCCTTGGATCAGAAGGAAACGGTCCAAGTTTTCCTCAGATTCTGACACAGGTTCCACTTCCATGGACTTTTTTTGGTAAGGAAGGGGTAGCTGTGTTAGCTGATGACAGCACAAACCACCGTCTTGTGCCTCCCCAAAAGGTTTTTATCCCATGGACGCTCTTGTGCGTGGCAGCCCACCTCAGCAGGAGTGTGAGGTGGTGTGTAATGTGTTTGGCAAACACACACACACACATCTCTGAGAGAAGCAGGTGGCGGCAGTGTGAATCTTTAAAGTGCCTGTGAAGACTTCTTGTGGCCTCTGCTTTTGTGGGGGGGGGGGGGGCCACATTGCCCGCACAGAGCTGGCAGGTGTGTGGTACCCTTTGTAGGCCACCTCCACCTGGGACTCTCACGGTCGGTCGCAGCCAGGAGGGGGGTGGGGGGTGGGGGCGGCGGCAGCAGGCTTGGCCCAGAAGCCTTTTCTCCTTGCCCCCTCCTAGGTTAGAGACTCCGCGGCCCGCCTAGCATGGCTCCCCCTTCCTTCTAACAAACCTAACCCTTTCCCTCCCCCCCACCACTGCACCCCCTTTCCTTTCTCAGCTCAAGGCTCAAGCCCAGGGCAACTCGGAGGAGCTCAGGTGTCTCCTGCTGCTCAACAGGGTGCAGGATTTGGAGGAGCTGGTCGGCAACCAGTCCTGCCTCAAGCTGGCTGGCAGGATCAAGGATTACGTGGCCACGGTGAGCCCTGGGCAGGGGGAGGCTCTGCCTGCCTGCCTGCCTGCCTGTCCGTCTGTCTGTCTGTCCCCACACCTACACAGAGAGGATTTGGGGAAATGGTCCCCCAGATAAGCAGAGAGAGAGAGAGAGAAGAGAGCATGGGAAAGAGGTCGCCCACGCCTCGTCTGCCTGACTTCGATCAACGGGTCCCCAAAGATGCGCCTCCTGCCTCACTCTGGGCGCAAGCAGATCCCCTCTGGCGTGAATCCAGCCTCGGGGGCAGGGATGGGGCTGGGGCTGCACTAGAGATTTCTGGGGGGGGGTCTTCAGTCAAGGGGGAGGGGCTTCTCTCGTCCCCACCTTGCTTCTCAAACCCCTCCCCCGTGCTTGTTCTCCTTTCAGGTGATGAAGGACATGAACCGAATCCAGCAGGGTGAGTCCAACCCAGGAGGGGTTAGGGAGGATGATGCCAACCACCGGGGATGCTGAGAAGGGAGGAGAACAGAAATCTGTGTGGAAAATGAAAAGGGGGACACATCATAGCAGACAGAAATGGGGGCATTTCAATATTTCTTCGTCTCCACCCACCCCGCCCCCAAAAGCACATCTTCACAGGATGCAAAAGCTAGGATTAGCGGTGGCAGCTCAGTGGCTTACAGAGGAGTCAGCGGGTGGGAGTTCGATTCCTCCCCCCACCCCCAGCCTCCTTGACAGGGGCTGGACCCAATCCATAGGGTCCTTTCCAGCTCTGCCGTTTCAAGGTATTCCTTTTGTTATTATTATTATTCTTCCTACCTAAATTGGTCGCCATGGAAGCTGGCACAGATCTGGTACAGCTCTCCTACGAGGGAAGGTTACAGGGATGGGGGATTTTTAACTGGGGGGAGGGCAAGTAAGAGAAGGGAGTAAAATGTAGACGGGAGGACCTTTTTTCTTCCCCTTTTTCGTAGTACTAATAGCTAAGAGGGTTCTCCACCAACCTTAGTGGAAGATCCAGGGCTGAGCAAAGGAAGGGCATATTCAGATGGCAAAGTTAAACGGTGGAACTCACTGCCACAAGGTGTACCAAAAGTTTCCAATATTGGACAGCTTTGAAAGGAGATTGGGTAGATTCACAGGAGGGGGTTGGGCTGTATTGGACAGCTTTGAAAGGAGATTGGATAGCCCAACCCCCTCCTGTGAATCTACCCAAAGTGGGCAGTCACGAGGGCTGCCTCTCCCCCCCCCGCCCCCATATGCCAGGCAGGGCCGTTCACCCCAGATACCAGTTATGAGGGAGCAGGAGCAGGAGGGAGTGCTTTTGCCCTCGGGCTCATGCTGCAGGGCCTCTCCTGGGGCAACAGGTTGGACTACAACTGCAAGGAGTTCCCAACAGCAGGTGGATCGTGGGATGTGCAGTACTAGCATTGTCAAAGGCTGCCTGAACTCACTCCGTTAACATCCCCTTGTGCTCAGTTAAATGTGGAATTTCCCCCCCTTTTGCCACAGAGACTTCGAAGAATTTGAGCAGCTCCTCAGATCGGCAGCTGGCCGACAGGTGGCCAGGGAGCAGGCCCTCAGCCCACCTGACGCTTGGGAGGCAGCGGACGAGCCAGCCAGGTGAGCATCCCTGCCCAAACTGGGAGGGAGGGAGGGGGCCCCTTTTGAGAGTGTGGGCCCCCTGCCCCCCCCCTCCCCCCCTTCAGCCTCTCTGGACCCCCCCCCCTTTTGTTTGCCCTCCAGGAAGTCGCGGGCTCTTTGGAGAGCTGCAGCAGTCCTGCCAGCACCCCGTCTACCAGTGGAAGAACGCAACCATGCACGCTCACCTGCAGAACGTCACCTACCTGGACGGCAAGCTGCAGGTCCACCAGCCGGGCAGGTACTATGTCTACGCGCAGATCTACTTCCGCTACCCCACCGAGAGCGCCCATGTCCGTTCCTCCAGCCGCCAGCTGGTGCAGTGCGTCAACCTCCAGAGCAGCTACGGGCAGAACAGCCTGCTGCTGAAGGGCGTGGGCACCAAGTGCTGGGCGCAGGATGCCACCTACGGGCTCTATGCCCTTTACCAAGGTGGCCTCTTTGACCTTAAGGCCGGGGACAAGCTCTTTGTCTCTGTCTCCTCACTGGACATCAACTACAACGATGAGGCTGGCAGCTACTTTGGAGCCTTCCGCCTCCCCGGATGATGGAGGAGGACGCTGCCTGCCCCAGCATCCTGAAGATATTGCCACCGCCATTGCCTTTAGGAGCTGTCAGGGCACCTGAGCCCCCCAAAGACATCCAGGGAGGGGCCCTGGGATGCTCCCCCCTTCCCTTTCCCTTGCTTGTTTCCCCTCTCTCCTGGGCAAATGGCCCCGAGAGGCAACAGCCAGGAATAATCGGGGCCTTTGGGGGACAGGAGACGGCCAGTCCTTCCCTCCTGGCAAGAGGAGGGGGAGGGGAGGGGAGCCAGTCCTTGACTACTGTCCCACTTGAGCTGTCGGCCCGCCCCCCCCAAAGGCAGCTGGCAGTCTGGTATAGCTTTCAGATGTCAAGGAGGGCTGCCTCTGCCCCCCCCCATGCCTTCTTCTGCCTTTCCTTCCAACCCCAGAGTCCTTCCTGTAGTTTTGCTACTTCCAACCATCCGAGGTGCTCTTGCTGGTTGTGCCCAATGGAGGAGGCAGGTTTCCAGGACAGCACCTTGGGAGGAGAAGTAGGCCAGGAGGTCAGAGGCTGGCATTTGCCTCCAGGGCATCTTGCGAAAGAGAGAGGGAGGGAGGGAGGGAGGCACACCTTTCTGCTTCCTTTCCCTCGAGGGCCTGTGCCCAGCCTCACGGGAGCAAGTCCCCTTGGCACACCCTGGCATTTCCAGTTTGCCGACTGCCTTTGCTTCAGTGACCTGGGTTGGAACGGCCTCAGGACGAGGAAGCCCCGGTAGGGGCTGCAGCCCTTTCCCTTTGGGGCTCTGAGAGTCGAGGGCTGGCAGGAAGAGGCTCCTTTAGCTGCTGGACAGCCAAGGAAAGGGCGGGCTTGTCTTCTGGGGGCCAAGTTTGGCGGGACCTCCTTGCATCAACCTACACAGTGGGGTTGGCCTTGCATTTCAGAGAGGGAAGCCGCTGATTTCAGAAGCAGGATTAGGAGGGACGGCTTTGTGGGAAAAGATCAACAGAGCTCAAGACCCTTGACAGAATCTGAGCAAGACCGACTTACGTTCCCTGTTGGCAAAGGCTGCCAGGCTGTGGTGGCCAGCCTTGGACCAGGTCAGGATGTCGGTCCCTCTGGCCCAGAGTTGGCCAGCTCTCCTCTTAAGGTATAACTGCTGACCCCCTGCTCCCTTTCAAGGGAAGAGGTCAAGGGTCCACCCCACCCCACCCCATTCTTAAGACATGCCCTGCACGGTTCTGTCCCAGCTCCCCAGCCGCAAGGGGAGGGCGTTCCTAGAGAGGGCCAGAGAGTGCAGAGGGACGAAACCACCGGTCCGGCAGGCCGTTTGAGTTCAGCCCAGGTGGGTGTTTTCTGCAGAACGGCTGGAATAACTCAGCTAAGAGGATCCCGTCTGTTGCAAAACCCTCTCTGAAGAAGATTGTTCAGGAAAGGCCTTCCCAGGGGACCTGGCTTCTCTCAGCCCCACTCAGGAAAGCCAGAGGGAAACAAACGGGCTTCTCGGAGGCCGGGCGCGCCGGTGGGGAAGCAAGCTGCCAAAGGTGGAGCCTCAGGAAGCGAAAGGAAATGTGCGAGGGTCAGCTGGGGCCACGGGGCCCTCCACTGTTTTTGTTTTCACTGGGTGGGTGGAGGAGGAAGAGGAGGGCTGGGATGGTTAGGACAAGAGTTGGATCCCCTGGCCTGTAACGGTCCTGCACTCTTCCTTTTGCCAAAGCGAAGTGGGGCTAAACTCCCAAGCATGAATCCACAGCCTTCCCAAGAGGATTCAAAGGGCTCCTCATTCACAAAGCAGCAAAGCAAAGGGGGGGGGGGATGTCACGTGAATGGGATGCCGGAGGTCCATTCTCAACCGCTGCATTTTCCCCCACATCGTTCCAGGCCACTGCTTTAGCTCTTGCGGGGTGAAGGGTTGCCCCTGCAAGGGACTGCAAGTCAGATTCCAACCCCCCCCAGTGCCCGCCTACCCCCCGCCCCCAAAGTATTCACGCCAGCTTCTGCAGAGCTTCAGGAAGGGGCTCCTTCATCATTCCCGCCTCCCAAAAGAGGGAGAGAGCAGCAGACTCAAGGATCAAGCATCAGGGTTATTTGTTATACGGTTTCCTTTACTCCTTCATGGAATCTCTTCCCCCAAAGCAACTTCAAAAGAATAATATAATAAAGTCTTTTTCTTCTAAACAGAAGATTAATTTCCACAGATTATATAGTGCAATTTGTTATCTGGTAGAAAAAAAAATAACATGATTATCATTAGCTCTGTACAGGGAGGGGTCAGGGACGCTGAGGACCGCTCCAGATTTGCCATAAAAAGAGATACAAATCTTTGGAGCCCATTCTGTAAAGTTCTCAAGGGGCCGGGAGGAGGGGGGGGCGTTACACGCCCTTCCTATTTCCCCCCCCCCCCCAATGCTCCATTAGTTGAACAATATAGAGTCCGGATCCTGGTTTGCCATTTGTGCGATGTGCTTTAATACATCCTTTTTGGTAATAATCCCCAGCAATTTCCTGAAAGGGAGAAGGAATAAAACCGATGAGCAACACACGAGAGATCCTTCTTCAGCCTCCCCTCCACGTTTCCCTGCAGGAAGCGTACCTTGCTATAAACTAGACCCTGTTAACATCCGCTATAATGTGAGGAGGGAAAATAAAAACAGCAACCAGCCTTTTCACACTGACTTTCAGGGCCCATGTCAGATTTGCTTGAAGCTGTGGGGGGGGGGCTGATTCCCCCTGCAAGGGTCCTAGGGTCAAAGAATTCCCCTCACCCAACCACCAATTCTCAGAACTGCAGCACCCCAAACTTTCTGGGCAAAAGCATCCGGAAACCAAACAAAGCTGGAAAACCAGTTCGCTGTATATAAAACAGGCACCACGAATGGGAGGGCTTCAGGAAGACAAAAGCCTTTATCAGAAGTGGCATGAAGCAATCTCTAGCAACCCTGGGCAAACTAGTCCAGATTCACTGCAAATTTCTTGCCTTTGTTATTACCAGGTTGTGTGAAACACTTGTATATATACAATATATTTTTCATGATTGTCAATTAAAAGTCTTGCCTCACTTATTTATTTTTATTTTATTTATTAGGTTTTCACCCCACCCCTCTAGACTATGTCTACTTTCTTCATTGTCTTTTCTAAAAATGAAGGTACTTCCAAACTCTGATGCAGAGATCTATTATTTTCTAGTTCGGTGCCCTGTTATGTACAAATCTCCATACAAGGCGGTTCCTGCTATTTCGGGTAACTGAGACCTTATCTTTAAAAGCATTCCACTTATTCTAAAAGAAAATATTTTATCTTGGGGTTTTTCCCCCATGTTCCCCATAGTTTGCTTTTTTTTTTTAATTGGAAAAAAACAGAAAATCTGTCCTTGCAGGGGGGTGGGGGGCAGGGGAGAAGGGTTTCATTTTCATTTTTCCCAGGCCTTCACATCTCTGCTTTTACACACCACAAACAGCAGAGGCCACAGCAAGCCCTGCCCTTGTTCCCAGGAGAGACGGCAGCTCTTGGGCCACTGGGCCCCCTTTTTTTCATCCCTGCTAGCTAGGCAGGTGGCTGCAGGCTGGCCCTCTCGGGAGGAGAGAGAGACACAAGGCTAGGGGGCTGGGGCTGCTAAACCAAATTCTAACAGCCCTCAATCTGTGAGTTCACAGGATTTTCCTCTCTTCCAAAAAGCACCACTTGGACAAGTGGATCACCTGCCAACCTCTACAACGGGCTGAAGCGCCAGGAGCGCCCAGGTGGCCCACGGACCGTTCTGGCAGCCCAAGAGCCCTTGGCCTTAAGAGGGGCCCCCCGCACCCACCACACCCCGGCGCGCTCACCCGTTGTGCGTGACCAGGCACTGGCGTAGCCCGAGTTTGCGGAAAATGTCCACCACTATCTCCATGGGCGTTTGGTCTGTCACCGTGAAGGGGCTGAGGTCGAGGATGTTCCGGAGCTTGAGGGCGGACGGGGAACTGGGGGGCAGGGGTGGGGAGTGGTCCGTGAAATAAATTATGGAGCTGCTCACAATCCCGTCTTGCTTCTTCCGGGCAGACTCTGGAGGAGGAGGAGGAGGAGGAGGAGGGAAGAGAGGCGGCTGACGAGAGCTGGGCTCCGCACACAGAGAGGCCTGGCGCCTCCACTTCTGTCACCACCCGTTCTTCATCCCTGCCTTGGGCTGGGCGGGCAGGCGCCTTCGGGCCAAGGCTTTGCCATCAAGGCCGCGGAGGCAGAGGGAGCAGCACACGCAGAGGCAGGGACACCCCGGCGCTGTGTAAAGCCCAAGGCTCATCTGGATGGGGCCCTACCGCTGCCCTGCCCCCCGGTTTCCCCCACACAGGTCAACCCCACGGGCTCCCAAAGCCTGCAAGCTGGACAGGACGGCCAAAGGAACCCCTGAGCTCCCCTTTGCACCCGCGTTTGTGCTGAACCTGGAAGCTCCATTTAGCCAGAGCTCAGAAAAGTGGCTTTTTGTTCTGCTAATGGGGCCACGGGCCAACTGGAGGATTCTTGGGATTATAATCCACCAAAGGAGCTTTTCCCCCCAAGCTCTCAATGCAGCTCCCAGGCGGAGCAGCCTTTGCAGGCGATTCTCTCCTCACCCTTGATGTGGCCTAATCTCTCTCAGAGGGGGAGAACCCCTTCCTGGAGTCAACCCCTTGGAAGTCAGACAGGAACATTTTAAAAGTCTCTCTCATAGACACAGACTCACAAACGCCCCCATTAAACATACCCTCAGAGCCTCCGGACAACTGATCACAACAGAACGCTGAGAGAGGCAGCAACCAAATTAAATGAAAGAAGTTAAAACCTTTGAAACACGAAGCGTTCCCGTGCTATATGGCAAGACGGGACCAACCTCCAGGCTTCTGAGGAGGGAGAGAAGATGCTTCCTTCCCTCCAGACGCCGGAACATGAAAGGAAGCAGCTTAAGCATCTCGCTCCTCCCGACAGAAAGAGGCCTGGTGGCTCACCCTGTTCGGACTGTTTTCTCTCTCGGGCAGGCTCTGGCTTCGTTCTCCGGAAGCTCGGAGGTCTGTGTGTAAACTCCCCCCCCCCAACAGGCCAACCTCTCCCCAGAGTCTTCCCTCCTCCTCTGCCCGCTCACCTATGGAGATGATGAGGTCCCGCCTGAGGACGAACCCGACCAGCCGCTGGGACTCCCTGGAGACCACCACGGGGTAGCCGCTGTAGGTTGTCTCGCTGATGACGCTCTCTGTGTCCTCCACGGTCATGCTGTCCTGCGTGAGGACCGTCAGGGGAGGGTCCGTCCGCCGGGGCCGCATGACGTCCATGGCCAGCGTCTTGTGCGAGAACTCCTCTTTGGCTTCCAGGAAAGGGTAGCCGTTCAGGCGGATGTGGGCGTCGTAGATGCCCTCCCGGCCGATGGCGTCGGCCACCCACTTGCTCGTCATGGCCGCTGCCATCAGAGGCACAATGTACTCCAGCCCGCCAGTGAGTTCAAACATGATGACCACGAGGGACACCGTCATCCGCGTCACCCCTCCTGCAACACACAAGAAACACACACATCCACCACGTGTGCCTGTGAGCATGGCGGGCATTCTAAAGGAAGCCCTTCCTTCTTCAGCCGGATTTGGAAGCCGTGCCCTCTTCTTCCTTAACCCCTACGTCCACTGTAGGGTGGGGGTGGGGGGGCCTGCTCTGATTTAAATGGAAGAAACCAACAGGGTCCTAGTCCTTGGTAATACAGAGAAGGAGGAGCCCCCCTGAAAAGCTAGCCAGCTGGCAAGCAGCTGTTTGCTGAAGGCAGAGAGAGTGCAAGGGAGACCTGGCGGGGGGGCAGCCCCCCACGTTTGGCAGCCTGGCCAAAGCACAGCTGGCTTAGAAGTAAGGCTGCTGCTGCTGTTGCTGCCTTCGTGAAGGGACCATTGCACAACCTGCAGGGCGGGAGCAGCCCCAGGACACCAGGAACCCAAACCAATTGCAAAGAAGGTGGCTTTAAGCGCTCAGCGTTCAGCTCCCCTGTGATTAAAGTCTCCACTGTTGGAAGGGAAAAGAGCCATCGCTGGAGCTGTTTAAGGGGTGCCTCTAAAAGAGGGATGGGCAGAGCATCTCCCTCTGGTAAAGCAAAACAGATCAAAGTTTATCCTCACCTCCCGTTTCTCTTCTGGGTTGCTATGGGAAGTTCCCAATTGGACAAATGGCGGTTACAAAGGTGCCGTTTATGGTGCAAGTGCTAATTGCTATTAACCTCTGCTCGAGAAACAGCTGGTGAAAACAGGTTTATAAGAGGGGAACACGTCACTCCCTACCAGTCTTTTTCTCAGCATAGCTCAAAGTGCCTGTGACGTGGGCCCAGGGCATTTCCTCTCACGGAAGCCTTGCCCAGCCTCGGAGACCCGCAGAGGAGGCCATTCCCGCAGGCCGGCCAGCCTCGGAGGCTCCTCTGGTGAGGACACGAGGCAAGGCCTTCTCTGTGGGGGCTCCCGGGCTTTGGACATCCCTGCTGAGGAAACCCAGGCTGATTCGAACCCTGATCTCCAGATTCCTAGTCCGTCACTCTACCCACGACACCACAGGTAACCCTTTTAAAAGTCTTCAGAAGATTACGTTACAAGCCTCCTCCCCCTGAGTCTAAACTTGCAGGAACAAGGGGCTGCATTCAGTTTTCGTTTGATGCTTTATGTTGTGAGAGGCATGGCAGATAAATAAATAATGACTACTAAGCATATGGGAAAACTGGCCAGAAACCCCTCCCTCCCTCCCAGCTCCCGGCTCTGCTGGCATTCTTCAAGGCTTCCCTCTGCCATGGGCTCTACCTGCCTGACAGCAGCCTAAGCATGAAGGCCAAAATCCAACAAGAAGTCCCAGCAAGAGAATCCAGACAGAATAAATGGATTTTACCTAAGCACATGCCAGGACCTCCTCCCAGGGCAGCAGCCCCCGAGGCCCCATCCCCAGGGTCCCAACCCCCCCCCCTTTCTCAGCAGACGACTCAGCCACTCACCCAGGCAGGCCGCAGCCCCCACCATCGCGTAGAGGCCGGGGGTGATGCAGTCGGCCCCTGAACTGCACCAGCCTTCAAAGATGGCCCAGTCGTGGTGGTGGTAGGCCAGCTGCTCCATGCCCACCCCCAGCAGCCGCCCGGCGATGGCCCCCACCGCCATGCTGGGGATGAAGAGCCCCGAGGGCACCTGCAAGAGAAACGCGCCCGTCACTGTGCGCCTGCGGAGGTGGAGGGAGAGAACTGGCCATGGAGGCAGAGTCACCCGCCCCTCCAGGACTCCCCGGGGAATCCTGTCCCCCTCGCTCTCCCTGCTCCTGTTCCGGCGGATCTACAGGTCCACTCCCTTCTCTTTGCTGAGACCGGCAGGGGGGGGCCCTTCATCTTAGGGTACACAACAAAGGGCACACAAAACCAGACACAACAAAGACAGGAACAGCCTGCACCGAAAGCACGCCAAAGTCTCCCGCCGGCCCCGGCTCCTTGGAGAGAGCGCCCGGTGCGGCACAAGACACCCCAGGAGGAGAGCCCATGCCCCCCCCGATGCTCTGCAGAAGGCGCCCGCCGCCCACCTTCATGCCGAAAGTGAAGATGGTGATGAAGGCCTTCAGGAGGAGGGCCAAGGCCAGCTGCCACATGGCCGTCCGGACCCCCTTCCCCGCAGCCCGGTCAGGCAGGTCGTCCCCCTTGGTGTTGTTGAAGTTATTGAGGTAGTCGCAGAGCTGGGAGGAGTCCAGGAGGCTGCAGTCGTTGAAGAGCTCCGAGATGAGCTCGCTGGTGCTCATCCGCGTGTACTGGTTGGGGAAGGCCAGGACGGCCGTCAGGGCCGTGACCACGATCACCTCCGTCACCGGGTACTTGCCCAACTTGGTGGTCTTGCGCCGCCGGCACCAGGCAATGTTGCTGTGGATGAAGAAGGCCCCCCAGAGGCCCCCGAAGATGCCCAGAAGGATGAAGGGCACCAGCTCCAGCAGGTGCCACGGGGTGTGGAACTCCACGTAGAAGAGGACCAGGCGGCTGTTGCCAAAGGGGTTGATGGAGCGCAGGGTGAAGGCGGCCACCAGGGCCGCAAAGAAGGAGCGCCACAGCGTCTTGAGGGGGAAGTAGTAGCTGACCTGCACGGGGACAGAGGCAGGAGGGGTGGGGGTGGAAACCAGACTCACTCCGTGCCCAAGGCGGCTCCCTGTGTCCTTTCCCCCCCCCCCGGTGCAGTAAAGTTTCCAGATCACCCCTGACAGCTGTCCTCTGCAGCCAGCAATGAGGGCTAGCAGCTTACTTTAACGCTGTTAGGCCAGCACGTGCTTTTGCAGGCAATGATCACGACTGGAAGGACCATCACCCATGTCTGTCTCTCTATTAAAGTAGATGCCACTTTCGCATCTTCACAGCAAAAGCAGCTCAGAAAGAGAACAGGAAGGTGGAAAGCTGCCTTATATTGAGCCACACCGGCTATTCGGCGAGGATTCCCCCCCCCCCGCGCCATCAAGATCTCTGGTCTTCCTTTGTGGTCTCCCCTCCAAGCCCCAGCCCCAACTGACCCTGCTTTGCACCTGACGTCAGAGGAGACCGAGGGTCTGCTGGATGGAACGGAGCTCCTTCCTCTCCCTGGCCCTGCGTCCAGGGCCTCCAGGGCCCTGCGGCTGAGCACCAGCCTTTCCCCCTGGCCCCTCAGGCGGCCCAGGGGGCAGACCAGCCTCGGCCAAATTCTCTCCCTGAAGGCTGCCCGGCAGAGGCAGCAAACAGAGCAGCTTCAGGCTGCCAAGCCAGGCGGGACGGCTCAGGACCAGAAGGCAGCCCATTGCACCCTCGGGGCTCAGCCAGCCGGGAGAGAGGAAGCCTCGTGCCTACGTTACCTCTTCAAGGCTGAACAGGACTCCTCCGATGGGGGCACCAAAAGCCACCGACACCCCAGCGGCGGCAGCCGCCGACAAGACCTAAGAGGAGCAGAGCAGGAGAGAGAGACCGGTCAGGGAGGGCCCTTCAGGCTGAAGGAGCGACAAAGTGCCGGGCATGCCTTGCTTTGAATGACTTAGCCGTACGGCCACAAACTCCCATCCCTGCACATTCAGACATGACTGGGGCGCACCGTTTCCCTGCAGAATGACAACAACGTCCAAACTCTTGGGAGAGGGAAAAACGCAGGAGAGCATGAAGAGGTGGGATTGGTCCCTCCAGTTCTTGCTCCAGTTCACTTGCCCAGAACTGTCACAACTCATTTACTGCCCGCAGGCTCATCATTCACTCAAGATAAACTCAACCAGAAGTTTCAAGACCCCCAGAAAACCCCTACTCAGAGAAGGTCACAAAACTCAAGCAGGCACAGACCCACAGATGAACAATCACACGGACGCACATGCACACACCGAGATAGAGGGGCACGTTCTGGGGCTCAGGGAGGGTGGGCGCTTACCTCCCGGCGCTTGGCCTCGTTCTTCCTGTACTTGGTGAAGAGGTGGCAGAGGATGTTCCCGCAGCAGCAGGCCACGTGCACCAGCGGCCCCTCTTTGCCCAGGCTCAGGCCCGACGAGACGGCCAGCACCAGGGTGATGGTCTTGATGACCAGCGTCCACTTGCCCAGGTAGCCACGGATGATGAACCCACTCAGGATGGTCTTGATCTGAAAGCCAGGCCCAGGAGGAGGATTTCAGCACCAGCGCCATGGAAGGAGAGGGCCCGCAAGAGTGACAGCCACCCAGGAAAGTTTGCTGCTCCCACATCCAGCATGGGGGGGGGTTGCAGGCTGCACTTCAGAGATGGTGGTCTTTCAAGAGGGTTCCCCCCTCCAGGATGCTTTGTCACAAGGGCCGGTCTCTGGAGGCTGGGACAAGGCAACATCCACCAGCCCTCCAGCCCGGTTCAGCCAGTGGGGAAGAAGGCTGGGAGTTGAAGCCCAACAGCAAGCAGAGGGCCATGCCCTGCCCCCCCCGCCCCCCGCGTTCTGCTTTCCCCACTGGGGATCTCCAGAGCTGCAGATCCATGAAAGGGAGGAGCGATGGGGGCTGACAGCTAGACTTACCTCTGGGATTCCGGAGCCACAGGCATAGGGAGCGAAGCCCCGGACCAGCAGCACGGCCAGGAGAGAAAAGAGCAGGGCCCAGAGGACATAGAGGAAGTAGTTGAGGATGTACGCCAGGGCCCCCTGAAAGGGAGGGAGGGAGGGAGGCAGGAGAGCACGCGATGAGGGCGCAGAGCCGAAGGAGGGACGGGGTCCTTGCCCCCCACCTCCAAAAAGATCTCTCTCCCCCCCCATCCCTGTGCCCCACCCAGAGAGCTGCCTGGGAGCTGCCAGTCAGGAAGACCCGGCCACACAGAACCTGCCGCAGGGTCACCCACCCCTTCCTCCTTGCCAGTCAGAAGCTGCGCCCACGTCCGCCACTCCGGGCACTTGTCCCTGTCCTTGAAGGTGGTCTCCGGGGAGTTCCAGCAGCAGTGCTCGTGGTTGTACCAGGTGCCGTTCAGGCAGACCCCCTCCTTCAAGTCCGTCATCCAGTGGGCAGAGATGTCGATCAAGCCGGCCAAGGCCCCTGCGGGAGGAACCGGGAGGCTCCGTCACACGGAATGGGTGCGGGCTTCCCTGACCCGGCGGGGAGCAAAGCAGTGGAGTGGGGTGGGGTGGGGTGGGGCTGGCGCGGGGACAAGAGGTGGGATTCCTCCCTCCTGGCTACCCCCCGGAGCCCCTGGGGGCGGTGGGGCTGGCGCTGGAGCTGCCTAAATCGGCTTGGCTTTCTCCCCCGCCATCAGCCCTATGAGCAGCATCAAGAGCCATCCTGAGAAGGAGTCGCTGACGCTGTGGATCAGGGCCCACGTGGACTCTTTGCTTCGGTTGGTGATCTGGAAAAAAGCGTTTGAGAAGCAGGAGGTTAGATACTCTCCTTTGGCAGTCACATATGTGTGTGTGTGCGCGCGCGCACGCATGCCCAAGAGCGGGGAGAGGGTGACCCAAGGACGACAGCCGCCTTGCTAGGCCCCGGAGAGGGAGCCAGGCGGAGGCGGGAGTGGTGAAAAAGGTGGGTCTGGGGGCCACAGAGGGGCCAAGCGCCCACTCCCAGGTTGCTGGCCCAGACCCCTCTGCAAACAGAGGCTGGCAAAAGAGCTCCGCTGCCCCTCCTTCGAAATGCGGTGGTGCTCCTCGGCCCACCCCACCCCACCCATCCCCACTGGTAGCCAGACCCCAAACCCTGCTCCAAACAGCACTCTCTCCCTTCTGGAAACAGCCACGCCTCTGGCTGCCGAAGAACGCTCGGCAGGTGACAAAGTCACAGGCCTGTTTCCTTGGCTCTTCTAGTTCCTAAATTTAGTGGGCTCTTGGCCTCCATGAGCCTGACGGGCCACTCAACTGCTCCGCTTCCAGGTACGAAGGCATGACAGGCACGGAGGAGGACGCCTGGAGAGCCGGCCATGGAAGGATGCTCCTGGTCCCGGGCAGAGGGAAGGGATGGGCTCCTCCAGGAAATCCATCATCTTGTGGGCCCTGTTCACCCCACCTCCATTGTACGAGGAAAAGCCTGCAGAAGGGGCCACAGAGAGGGACAGCTTTCAAGGACGGACCCGGCCCATCGCCTCCCGCGGAGGGCAACAAACCTGGATGGCACCGGAGGGGGCAGAGGCCAAGCTGTCGCACAGGGAGAGAAGGGACTCCAGCCCCCATCCGCCAGCTCTGCGGAGAGAGCAGGTCTGTTTGGGGGCAAGCCCTCCCCGCCCCCCCCCAATCCCCCAACCATCTCCATTCTGGCGGCTCCGCATCTCCTGTCATGTCTTTAAGGCAGCACTGCCTCCTCTATTCCTGAATGCCTTTCCGGGAGCCTTTTCAGCCAACAATGAGGGTACACCTGTAATTTGTGCACTTATTTACTGATCTTCTCCTCGACAAGGGAAATAAGCGGCTGCCTTAGCCACCAGGGCACTGCCAGCCAGTGCCTCTCATCCAGGACTGGCACTTCCGACTTAGGCACCTCGTCCAAGGCAGCACTGCCTCCTCTATTCCTGAATGCCTTTCCGGGAGCCTTTTCAGCCAACAATGAGGGTACACCTGTAATTTGTGCACTTATTTACTGATCTTCTCCTCGACAAGGGAAATAAGCGGCTGCCTTAGCCACCAGGGCACTGCCAGCCAGTGCCTCTCATCCAGGACTGGCACTTCCGACTTAGGCACCTCGTCCAGAGTCCCCGCCCTGAGCTTTCCATAGTCCTGTCTGGAGATTCTCTGGCCCTGCCTGAATCCTGATTAAATCTTGCCAAAATCAGCCGAGACTTGGAGCGCTCAGGATGGGACCGTGGTCAGCTTGAGAGTCCCACGTCACCAGTTGCAAGGAATTATTTCCTCCCAGTAAAAGTCTCCTCCTGCCAGCTGAAACTGGCAGATGCCGGGAGTCCCCACAGCCCTCCACCTGGTGCTGCCTGTTCATTCACAGGGGGCGGCAGGAATGGCATCAGTTGCCAAGGGGGTGGGGGTTCTGGGCAAGTGGGTGGGGCTGAACCCTCCTCTCTGGTCAGAAAGGGGGCACGCAAGAGTCAGCGCAAGAAGCTCGCGTACTAAAAAGAGAGCTGGCAGGAGGCACCAGGGACAGGGAGCCTGAAGCACTGCAAGTTTCGAAATGAATTAGTATTGAATCAGTGGGCTGATGTTTTAGACATTCTGTCCTGCTTTGTGTTGTAAAACCGCACCAATCTGCACAGATGGTTGGTTCAGAGTGAGCCCTTCATTTTATATACTTCTGTCATGTCTCCCCCTCCCCTTGTCTGCTTGTTCTGCCTAAGCTAGAAAAGCCCTCAAGGCAGAGGCCTCCATGCCTCCAGCCGCCTCCACGCCTCCCTTGGCCCTTTCGGCACCTTCTGCAGCCCCGTTCCAAGCGACAGACCCCATTTCAGGGGCGGCTACAGCAGAGATTTGAACGCAGACATCGTGATACGGAAACTTTGGTTTTTTTAAAATTCCTTTTGCAAGCTCCCCGCCCCCAACATGAACCTGCTTCTCTTGGTCTCTCACTTTCCTCAAACTGCCCCCCTCCCTAGGACTCCAGCAGAACCCCTCTCCCGATCCGTGCACCCCTTACTCTGCTGACGTTAGCAGGCCGGTGCAGCTGGGGTGCATCTGCCCCACAGGTGACCTGCTTGTTAGAGCCATTCCCACATTCTCGTCCCTCCCCCCCCCCCC